ACATACTCTTTTTTAAAAAAAATTTTATATATATATATTTATATTATAATACACCATTTTTTAAACATAGAAATTGGATTTCATGTGTGTGCCTTCTACACTTTATTTTCATTATTTCATGTACTTCATCTTTTAAAATATATTTGTTTTTCACATAAACATATTAAACAAGGAATACAGCCGAAATGAGCAGAAAAGTGCTTTTATGAGGAAGCCTATAAGACTGATTATTCACCAGGGAGCAATATCTGGATGTTTAATTGTCAGGCTTGCAGTTAGTCTCTCTCTTTCAATGTCAGTTCGTTCACGTTTATCCTCTGTTTACCCCCTTGATCACTTTCTCCAATCTATATCCCAGTTCGTTATGGTCCTCTCAGCACTCCTCCACCTCATTCTCATGCTCGACTGTCTGTTTTTTTTTTTCTTTACTACACATCCCTTCCCCCTTCAGTGAGCTGAACATCTTGAGAGAGTGTATTTGCATGCGGCCCTCATCAGACAGCACACACTCTCACACACACGGGCGGCTGATAAAAGGCATTGACCCCCTTAACCTTTATGAATTACAATTTGTGCCAGCAGCACATCCTGTCAGAGGAGTGGGCACCTATGGAGCTGGGTGTTTGTGTGTGTGTGTGTTGTGCAGTTGTTAGAGAGGAAAAAGCCTCGTGCAGGTTCTGGTCAACACCTTTGACAAGCTGTGAGAGGCGTTCAGCACGCTGACAGCACCGGGAACAGAGAGAAACACACACACACACACGCACTAATGCGTGTGCTACATCAATACATAAAGACAGGCCCTGCACATGCAGATAGGCCTACATGCTCCTGCATCACACACACATTCAGGAAAAGATTTCACGGGAGGGATTTTTAACACTGGAACCAATACACATCAACCTCTTGATTGATGCTGTATGCCACTGTACCATTACAGGACATCCATATTTTTAAATATGTTTTGTTTTATTTATTAAATTTATTAGAATTCAATATTTTGATGCATAAGTATTGTAATACATTTTAAATATTTACTATATATGTATATGTCACATAACTGTGTCGATAAACTCCCACGAAGACGAAGATGACGATAAGCAGTCTTTAATAAATCCACCAATAAATCAAGCAAGAGAAGGCAGGAGACACGCATTACATTGACGAAAACCGACAAACTCAAACTGAACAGACAGGAACTTAAATACACAGAACAAATAGGATAATTAACAAGACACACCTGAACATAATGAAGAACTCAAATCAGAAACCATGACAACTAACTAGACAGAGAAAATGGTGCAAACAAAGTCCAAACAATGTGATGCGATGACATTATAAAATAGAAAACAGAAATATTTTATTACAATATAAAAGTGTTTGTCACTTTTAAAATTGTCACATATAAAATTGTCACTGTTGATCAATTTAATACAGCCTTGCTGAATAAAAATATGAATTCCTTTAAAAAATATATCTTAATGACCCCCTTTAAACAATTGAAAATATTGTTCATTATATGTGTATATTGATATATAATGTATGTGACATGATGACATCAAAAACAGTTTTCTTTTAGTGGTAAGGTTTGGGTTATGGTTAATTATGGTTAGTCATTATAATGTAAAAACAACATAAGGCTGTGGTATGTCCTCATTTAGACAGCTGAAGGTGTGTGTGTGTGTCTGTGTCTGTGTGTGTGTGGATGTGTGCCTGTGTGTGTGTATGTGTGCCTCTGTGTGTGTGTGTGTGTGTGCCTGTGTGTCTGTGTCTGTGTGTGTGTCTGTGTGTGTGTGTGTGTGTGTGTGTGTGTGT